TTTTATAAAATATTTAGTAAATTTATGAAAAACGTTTATTTTTTTATTTTAAGATAGATGTCCCGTATTTTAAACTTTAAATACTTATTAGTTTATTAAATAACTTATAACAATTATTTGTAATTCCAATTTCATCCCAGGTAAAATAATACGATGTTTTTTTCCGTTTTTAAAATATGAATATAATTTATATTTATACCTAATGAAAATTATTATAACCTGATCTTATTTATATTTTAATGCATTAGATTAATCTCTTATCTAAAGATATAATTTTAATTGATTTGCTATACTGCGTAATAATGTTCATCATTCAACTATATAACTAGGGCTGGGATTTGGAAATACTTTGCATTTTTTTCTGAAGCTTTCTATACGATGCTCGTTTTTTTATAAATATGTTTTAGGTATTTTTAAATTAGAATATGATATTTTATTTTGCATTTTTTTTGCATTTTATGAGATTTTTTGATTTAAAGGTCATTTTTCTTATTTCAGGGCATTTTAAGGGTTTCTAAGTCATTTTTGATGTTTTTTAATTTAAAATGATAGATTATAGATTCTTTTCTATTGACGGATTAGTGTTTTTGTGTAAGGTATACAATGTAAAAGTTGCTGTTAAAAAATGTTTTACCATACAAAATATATCAAGAGACAAACATATTAATGGAGTACAACGAACAGAACAAATTGAAGGACAAGAAAAAATATATATATCTACAAAAACTTATTGGGGAACAACATGAGGCACGCTCTCATGATTTATTGTAACAATAAAGAATAATTTTTTATTTATTAATATATAAAGTAAAATAAAATATTTATGTACATTTAATGTAATTTTTTTAAATTTTTAAGTCATTTTTACATTTTTTTTAAGGATATTAAAATCCCAGCCCTATGTATAACATTTCATAATGAAATTATAATTATGTATATCATTCGATTGTGTAACATGTTATAAACCAATAAATAACGATTCTTTCGATAAGCAGAATTCACAATTCAGATAAGAAAGGCCTAATCCAACAATACATCATTAACATCCTAAATAGGTCAAATCCTAAAAATCTTCAAAGGACTGGTACAAGATCCATCCGTCATACTTCCCTATGTTAAGAAGACCAGCTCTTGCCCATAGGCCGTCGTTGCATGCGTACCGATCTCTTGGTCATAGGTGCGCATGACTACCGGGACCCTCCAAAGAGCTTTTTGTGACAAGTTATTACTACGTATGATTATTTCACTTATAATATAACTTTATAATTTAAGTTTTCTGTGCAAGTGACGTAAAGTTTCCAGCACCAGTCCATTAAATACTGTGTATGTTTGATTTAATTTCAACCTCACTCTACTTCTAGAGTAGTCAGTAAAGTGTCCGGCTCATCAATACCTGAATATAGAACAAGTATGTGTAATTTTATTGTGCCTTACAATACTATTCAGTTACGTTGATTGGTTCTCGAACCATTGTGTACATGAAAGCCTTCTCTTAACAAGAAGGAATGTTATAAATCCAAATTCACTACTTTTCTTTTCACTATCCACATCTAATCTGTTCACTCTCTATTTTCTTTCTCTTTTTCTTTCATTTTTGGACCATGGTTATTATCAAACCAAGACTATTTAATACCAAAAAAGCTGAATTATTTATATTTAATAGTTTATTAAATTTATATAAATACAATTCTTATAATAGTATTGTTAAACGGTTATAAAAAACGTCAATTTAAAATAAGTTTTTAATATTTAACAATAATTATATTTTTTAAAAAGTTTAAATTCATATAGTGAATAAATATATTATGAGATTTTAAAGATGATGTCAATAAACATATATATTTTATAAATGTTATTGTGTATTATATATAAATGTAATACATGTTTAAAGATAAATGGATAAATGAAAACCCTCGATGATGGTAAATCTTTTGTAAAAGTTTAGAGAAAACTTTTTTATAAATCTGAAAATTTACCAGCTTCATTATAAAAAAGAGGTGTTTGTCAATAACCGGAAAATGGATAACAGGCAATAAATCATATATTATATAAACTAGTGCAGATGAATAATTTGTTTTTGGGTCGCCCGTATTTCAAATTACCAATTTTGACACGGATTACCTAAACCTAATCTCAAAGTGACAACCCCGGCGTATTTTGATATTACAGTGTATAAAAAGGGCTTATGACCTATAAACGAGATAACTCAATTTATACATGTATACATACAGGCTTTAAGGCTGGATAAAAGAAAATTTGCATCCTAAAAACTCACTTTTCCAAATCTACGACCTCATGGGGAATATTCAAATCAATAACCAAAAGAGATTATATAGAAATTTATAGCACCAAAAATAAATTCTTAAAAATTCTAAAGATAAATTAATCATTTAGTACCTATTCATAGCAGTCAAACAATTTCTAATAAAAATCTAATCAAATTAAAATTGACTGTAATCAATTTATAAGTATTTATATTTTACAAATAAATAATGTGATTTGAACTATGTTATTAAAATTAAAATATACTGTTACTTTTGTTGTTGATCTTTTTAAACACAATTGATAGTAAATTATTGAAATTAATTTGCGTTTAACAATGAATACGAGCAGTGAAATATTTTTTAATTTAGAAACACTATATTCAACTAAAAATCTAAACGCAACAAATACATCTTATGTACAGCAATAACTATTAATAATTACAAATTGTTAGATGATATAAATATCAATATCAAAAAAAAATAATTGACACGTCATTTTTTCATAAATTGTATAATTGTATTGAAGTTTATACCCGAATAATATTTATTTATTTTTCACATAGTTCTATGTTTTAGGAAAAAGTAATAAATACTTATTTAGAATAAATATACTCGTATATGTACTTTATAAATTCTAATTGAAGTTAGTTGTATCATATAATTCACATTTTATTTCAAAAGAATTAATATTAAGACTTCGTCAAAGTAGTTACGAGAACAACGTGAAAAATATGGCACTATATACTAGAGCTTTTAAGACACAACGCGCCATTTAAACTTGTAGCCCTCAACATTAGGTAACTTTTAATTTAACCTTTGCATAAAACAACGAAAAATTGAAATAAAAAAACACTAAAACGAGCTAAAAGTGATATTATAATAATTTTTACATTCATACCAAATATCATATAATAATAATATAATTAGCTAAACTACCCGGACTCGCTGGTATAATTCTAATATTTATAATATAAGGACACATTTACTATAAAATCGGTGCATCTTATTATATTATTTTATGCATATTATGTCGTATAATTTAAATATGGCTTTTATTTTAAAGATAAAGTAAATGTAGAATTAGTACCATTGTTAAATGCAACCAAAATACATATCATCCAGTTGAAAAAATACATGTTTAGTGTAAATGTTTATTAGTAGGTAAAATATTCTAAAAATGTAATCCTAAAATTTGAAACTTAAAGAAAACAATTGTAGAAATTGTTGTAAAGCTGTGGAATCAATTTCACATGCTTTATAGAAAAAAAATTAAACACTGTACAGCATTCCGTTCCCTTCCCGTGTAAAGCAAACGAATTTATAAAAAATCAAAAATCTTGAAGTGAGGTACATCTGTGGAAAAAAAATTCAAACACTGAAAATAAAAATAATATTATCGTCAGAAAAATGGAAGGTCCCAATGAGCTTCTTACTCATGAACAAAAACCAAAAAAAAAGGGAAGCCTAAGGATACTTAAGGAAGTATTTGGGAATAATTTAACAATAAAATATTCAATAAGATTAGTACGTATCAATAAATAAAAACCCAATGCATTTCTGTAAAAATTTATATAGCGTTTATACCATATACAAAATTCCTGTAGGGTTTTGGTAGTAAATAATCTATAGTTTGTGAGGTAATTTCCAAACAGTTATCTTAATAATTGTGTAAAACTTGGTCACCGAAAGTGGAAAAGAGGACAAAAATAATTTGAGATGGTTTGGGCATGAAATGAGACGAGAGGAAACAAAAGCAGTAAGAGTGGTTATGAATTTTGAAGGGAGAAGAGGAAAAGGAAAACCAACAAAGAGATGGTTGGATACGATTAAAAATTAAATGAGGGTTATTGGTATTGACGGCATTCGGAAGTCGATGGGTAAGATGGGTGGGGCTAATCAAATTTTTTAAAAAATCGGTAAAAAATACTCAGATAGATTTGCTATTAGTGAGACACGATTTGCAATTATTTGTAATTAATTTGCAATTACTTGACGGTATTTGGAAGTCGATCGGTCAAGTTGGGGGGGAGCAACTTCATGGAAATTGTCATAAGTACAAGTAACTTAAATTACTTCTACTAAGGGTGGGGGGGGGGGCCATTTAAAAAAAATTATTTTGTTGCGCATGCCCAGAATTTTTTTTTTTTTAAAAAATTAAGATTTATCAAAAATAAATGTAACTTTATGACCTTAATGCATTAAAAAAAAAACCCAAATTGCATTCAAAGTCATGCATTCGAAATATATTGTGTTACCTTTATCGTGAACATACTGTATTTTAATATTAAAGAATCTCGGTTATGGACGAAATAATAAGTGTTATATTATTATTATTTATTTTTTTTTTTTTTTTGGGAGGCGCATATTTTATGTACCCGAAGGCACCAAATTTTTAAATATGGGTATGGTTACAATTTTATACAATTACTACGACCGACTTCTGCTGCAGAACACGTCGCTCTCGGTTGTTCGGCTTTGAAATCTATCCCGTTCGAAACGTCATAATGTTGTTGCCGCGTTTACTGTAATCATTAAAGGAGCCACGTGAATTAATTAGGTTAAACGGACGCGTGTAATTTTACGTGAATTGTGTAACATTAACATAATTGGATAGCTGGCTGAAGAAAAGGTGTTTGTTTAATGTTTTAATATAGTATTGAACAAATTTGCATCTTTAGTATTTCCTAGGATACAACCATTGCTATATATAGTAATAAAAATTCATTGATTTTATAGGAGCATAAAGTCTAAGTTTAAATACAATTTTATTTTAACATCATTTCCAACCAACAAATTCACGAAATTAACCGTTCTCGAGCTTAATGAACGAAAATAAGACCGGAAGAATGGATACCCAGAAGGTCAACAGCCAAAAGCCGAATAAAACAGTTTTAAAACCTAACGTTGAATGGAAAATGAATTACGAAAAGTATTTAAAAATGACAAGAAAGGAGCACATGAATTGGTTAGCTCAGCCAAAAGAGGTCCGATTGAAGCCGTGGCCAGATCCAGAACTGATACGAGAATTGCCAATAAAAATCGAACATCATACTTTGTACGGTAAAGTTCCTTCGAGAATTGAATACTTGGCCAGACCAAAAGTTTATAAGCCGCGGCCGGAGCCACCAGAGATAATTCCTACTATCAATGGTTATTCCAAGAAAAGAATGGAGGAACTAGCCAAACCAAAATCATTGGTTGGGCACATACACGCAAGGTGCATGGACACCGAAGAAAAAGAAATCATATACTTCAATCCGAACAGGTATCACTCGAAAATGACCCCAAGCGAAGCCAAGAAGTTCCATGAGGAATGGACCGAGAAAAACTCAAAACCAAAATTACGTATTATTAACGTTCCAGAAAGGGACGAAAGAAGGTTGTCGTTGAAACAAGCAAAAAAATTGACCGAAAGACTGACCAAAGTGTCAGATGCGAAAAAAGAATTGATGGCACAAGAACCTTATGTTCCTCGAAGAGAACCTCGGCCTCCGGGAAAGCATATAGTACCCATGAATCTTCCGTGGATTGATCGGCTGTCGAAGCCTAGACAACTAATGCCGGAGACAATATTAGACATGGAATACGACCCGTACCTGATAAAGAAAAGCACTTTGAGGGCGAAACCGTCAAAACGGATAATCGAATTGGCCCAACCAAAAGTGGTTAACACCAAAGGTCAGTTACAGTTCAAGGAAAATCCATATGCGGTAAATCCAAGAGCTTTGGTGTACAAGGCAACCAAACGTATAAAGCGGCTGGCACAACCCCGCATACGGAATTAAATGGTTAGTCTATACAATATACTATATGTTTTTAATATCTTATTATCAGACGCGGGCTGACCGGCATTTCACGTTCATCGGCCTTAATTTAAAATATTAATACCGAGCTCCAGTGCTTTCATCGCGTTTTCGTATCATATAAACGTGTAATTTATCCCTTTGAAATTATACGATTTCTATCAATCTAGAAAAAAAAATAGTAATATGTATATAAAATATATACATATTATTATATTATTATTATTATATTTTATATAGTTTATTGTCGACAGTTATTGTAGATACAGATTTTATTCAAATCTATGTATAACATATATAATATTTAAATTATATTTATTATAGTTTTAATAATATTACTAAGGTATCATTTATTACAGCTGTTTCCAATGGTTCAATTATCGGTGTTGTTCCAACTGTTAAAAATCTGTTGTCATCGAGTTGAACGCAGACGATCACACTGACTTCTGGTAGCTGCGTCCACAGATCAGCTACTACAAATTTAAACGGTTGCATACAGTTGCATTTTAACGGTTGCCCTACTTATAGCGTATATAACGCGTAGTGTGTAACCGGATACTTATCGATATAGTATTATTTTCCCTCTATCAATAACGGCTGTCGGCGATCATATAAGACTCTCCTACACCCGCGTATGTTGTCTCTCCGCCCGACACACGAACGACGTAGCAATTTTACGTTTAGCAGTTCAAATGTAGAGATGTTTTAGCTTTAGTATTAGAGTAAACTGGCCTACGATCAAACTTATAGGGAACAACATTATCTGTGTTTTGTTGGTCGGGTTTTTCCGATATTTTTATTTTTAAGCGTGCAATGATTATATAAAATATAACAATTAAAAAACTTATAATTGGCTTAAAAATTTAAATATCGGAAAAAACCAACCAACATTACAAAATTAATATTCTTCTCTTCGAGTTTGTCTACGAATCATTTCATTCTAATATTAAAGCTTTTAATATCACTATACCGTGTATTCACCAATTTAGGGAACACTGAATTTCTCGGCTGGATTAATATCTGAAATAAATCGAATTTTTTTTTACAAGCTAGTGATATATAAATACACATTTTCAGATAAATTTCAGATTTTAACCCTCTCGGTACGCGCATGCGCAATGCAAATTATTTTTTTTTTTTTTTAATAGCAACCGGTATTTTTGATACCAAATTTGGATAGACTGAATTTTTTAAAGTCATTTTGACCAATTAATTATGACTCTAAAACCAAAATTGACTGAATTAAAGACATTTAAAATTTAATAAATAACACATTTTTACAAAAACTTTTTTAACATTTTTACATTATAAAATACATAAAACCATTTATAATTATTTATTATTGGTTACTTTTTGAATATTTTTGCGTATTTTTTTATTGACGTTTTATAAACAATATTAATTTAATATGGATATACAATTATTTAATTAAAATTGTTTATATGGTTTTATACATTTTATAATGAATTTTGAAAATATATTATTTATTAAAATTTAAATGCTTCTCATTCAGTCAATTTTGATTTTAAAGCCATGGTTAATTACTTAAAAAAATTCAGTCTGTCTGAATTTGGTATCAAAAATACTGGTTGCTATTAAAAAAAAAAAAATAAGTTGCATTACGCATGCACGTTCTGAGAGGCTTAAAAATTTGAAATTTATCTGTAAATGTATATTTATATACTATTAGTTTGTAAAAAAATTTCGATTTATTTCAACATAAATCGGTCGAGAAATTCAGTTTTCCTCAAATTGGTGAACACACGGTATATATATATAAACCACTAAACGCAATACAATATCTGAATTTTTTTTTTTAATTTCTAAACTTATGATAACCAAGTAATCAAAGATTTAGTGAATGTTATTCAGATGATGTTGATTAAGACGTTTTTGAAGTAAAATTAAAGCTTTGGCATATACATTTTCAAAAATTAAGTGTACATGGTCTTGTAGAATCTAGATGTTCTTGATAAGTGCAATAAAAACTTATTTCCAAATTTATTCAAATTGCTTCGTACTTTTGCAACACTACATAATACATCGTGTGAACCAGAAAGAAGTTCTTCTACATTAAAAAAAATTATTACTAATCTTCGAAATTCTGTAGGCCATTTAAGGCTTAATGGCTTTGTAGTACAGAATTTTCATCGTGAAGTCGATGTTGAAGTTGAAGTTGAGGAGGCTATTAAAATATTAGCAAAAAAAAAAAACCATCATACTGACTTCATTTTATAACTATGTATACTATATTTATATTATGATTATATATATTTATATATTTACCTTAATTATTTCTCTTATTTCATATTTATTTTATTTTTATAGATTATATTATTACATTGTTATTATATAACATATTGGTAAGAGATTTTTCAGTTATGAACAAAAAAAAAAAAATTCATGTATATTACAACGCCCCGTTGAAAAAATCTTATGAACGCATAATGATTCACGTTTTTCAGGCATTTTCTATAATAAAGAATAATTGGTTATCTATTTTTCTTTTTTTTTTTTTGGTTTTTATTTTTATTATTTAAAACCATCATAATGTTATGATAACATAATGTTATAGACATACTGGCTTACTCGCCACGTGTTTAACAGAAGCTACTCGCCCACGATTAAAATTGATGACCCGGCTACTCAGTGGCTACCAGTGGCGTATTCAATTGGAGGGGTTATAACCCAAAATTTTTTTATGTAAATATGATTATCGTCTATTGATTATAATAATAATACACCAAATTTAAATAAATGTATCTGTTATGTATGATACATTTTTTCTAAACCCCCCCTCCTTACAAATAAAAAAAAAAAAATCTGAATACCCTACTAGTTGCTACTCAATAACTATTTAACAATTCGGCGAATGAAATCACAGTATATAATCAACATGGCTAGCAAAAACACTAGTGTGTTCGCTCGCTAGTTGGGTTTTCAAGACTTTTTCAGGCTAGTTCTTTTCGATAAGCGACTTTTCAATTTTTATTTTAGCTTTTATCTATTTTTCAATAATTTCCTCTATTAATCCTTCATTGTCAAGTTCTGAATAGAAGTTTTTAAATATTTCAGCTTATAATTTGGTGTTTCAATAGTCCTTATGTTTTATATTCCGAAGAAGTGGATAGTGATCTTACTTTTTTAAAAATATCACAGATATTTTAACTATTTCAATAAACATATAGAAAACACTTTTGGAATTTAAAAATTATAAAATTATAATTTAGTATTAATATGAAACTATTATTACGTTTCAACGTGTGGTTGTGACATACGCGAACGAGCGAATTTCCTGGTCGAAGTGTAATCACACAGGTCGGTTCACGCTCATTCGTGCGCGACAAATTCGTTGACAAGCAGGGAGTAAATTCGTCCAATGTAATTGAAACATAAACGTTTGTATCATAAACGAAATTATAAAAAAGAAAAACGTTTATTCAAATACTTCACAAAATCATTCTTATCATAATAATAAATACAATTTTATAATAATTTCGTTAATGTTATAAAATATTAAAGTTATTGATTTTACAAAAAATTACTATATAGAAACGAATAATTAAATGCTATTATTTTATTTATCGTTTTATTATTTTGTAATATTAATCAGTCTAAAGAAATATAATGATTACTAATACTAATATTTCCATATAAATACTGTATTAATGAACATATAATCACACAGTGTCTTCCTTAAGTAACTTAATGACTAAATTAATTTAAAAATTACGTTTTATTTATTTTGTCTTTAAAAACTTAGCTCATTATTAACGAAAAAATTTTAATAGTGAACTACATTTTTGTTATTGTAGATTACATAAAAAGAGAATAATTAATCAGACAAAACGATTTAAAAATGGTTTAAAATTTGTACGTGTGTTTATTCTTACATGAGTAATCATTATTATTAGATATTATTTTAAATTCCACTTAATTTTAAAAGATATTAATGTAGAGATGTACAACTTTTCTTATAAACATTTACGAATAAAAAATACGAGCCGTAATATATCTGGATTAAAATTTTCCTTTAATATTAATCACTTTTAACAGCTGGTTGTGATCTGAAAATTATACTCCATATTATTAGAAAAAAGTTTCATTGTAACCATAATGTCACATTTAGCTATTGTTGCATAATATTCATCGTATACTCATACAAAATATTTATATAAAAAAAATAAATATATAATTTAGGATATTTTTTATGTTAAATTGTAGGGAATTGTAGTGGTTATGTATGTACGATTGGTTGAAAACATCAAGCTTGTGTTTTCGTGTAAAAGACTGACAAAATATTTATAACTAAAAAAATGAGCTCTTTAAGAAAAATGCGTTGTCACACTTTAAATCCCTTTCATGATATCTAGAAATAAATATATGCATACAAAAAGGAAAACATATTTTAAACAGTGATTTGTCATTTTCGAAAAATAATATTTTCAGTACGACCTAAAGCTGAATATTATACTTCATCATTAATGCTATATTTTGTATTATTTTTTATTTTTAATGTTTTATTTAATATCTTTCGTGTTTCGGAATGTAATGGGATTATTTGAGTCTAACTAAAATATTTTATGATTAAATAAACAATAATAGTACAAATATAATTATTACAATATTGTTTATTATTATGTACAATAACTTTGTAATAGATATTTTTATAGCATTTCAAATCACCCATGTTGTTAAAATAGGATTTCTAATTGTGTGTAAGTTACAAAATCTAAACCATCAGACAATATTAATCATCCAGATATTTAAAAATATTTAATCATAACATTTTTCTCCGTCAATTTCATTTGCAGTATGAAAGTTTACATCGAGAGTTTGTTAAAAGCTTTTCGCTTTAAAAACGGATAACTAATTCGGCGTGTAATCGCATATTCGGGGTAGCATATCGTATATTAACATTTGACATGCCTGTAATAAATTAACCCAAAACTTCATATTTCTCTTGTTTGTTTGTGTAATATTTTTTACTAGAAATTCTCAAAAAGTTTAAAGTAAATTTGAAACACGCATCGAAAATTCGGCTGCAATACGATTGCGCGTGGTCCTTATCAACGGTACCTTTTTAGGTGTACAATTGCGCGTGCTAAATTATTTTTGCTTCTAAGCAACGTTGCCAAATACACAGATTATAGGTGCATGGTAAATATCCGATTAGATTCCGATTGTGGTAATCCGTAGGTTATTTATTGCTTAATATCGCCGATACCAGACTAACTTTCCATCACTAAGAAGTAGATAATTTTATTTTAGATCATACTTTTATCTTTATTGTAAATTCCCTCACATGTACAAATATACCTAAACTATGATCTCGCATTGTATGTATATACGTATTTACTGAAATGTCAATTGTATTCGTGTTCGTGTTTTAGCTGTCAACGTATATTTTTCGCATTGTTAACAATTTATAATTAATTTTTTAAAATGGAAAATAAAATTTTCATAATAAGTTCAGAAAGGGGGAGTGATTTGTTAGTGGTGAAGAAACACAAATTTTGATACATCAGACAGCGGGCAGATGGAAATAACAGATGGAGGTGCTGTAAAAAACAGTGTACTTGTACAGTCTTAATGACAAGTGACAATAAAATAATGATAGAAATTGCTGGTGAGCATAACCCCCTTGTAGATTCTACTCAAAAAATCGAAAGTCAAGTTCTAAGGGAAAACTGTAAACGTAAAGCTATAAGTTCCATAGCTACCCGGCCAATAAAAATAATTAGAAATCAACTTATAAATAGCGTGAGTACCGAGTTAGAATATAATAATATAAAATCAGTTAGAAAGGCTATGTAT